GTGTTTCGATACATCGTTTGATTTGTTACAAAGTGTATTGTTTTTATGCGCGTAGTATTGACATACGGGTGTAGACAGGCAGGATATTAACCCCAGCATCACGTCGCGACCGTCCCATCCGCACACCAGCTCAACAAATTTAATGAAAACGAATATGTACAATATAACACGTATCCAGTCGACACGCACAAATAGACGACTATGACAGGAACGAACGAAATTATCTTCCAGAGGGGAAACTCGTGTCAAGACGCGAAATGTCTGAATATAATCGGACCCATGTGGTTTAGTCGTAGAATTCTAAATCCAGAATCTATCTGCTTTAACAGAGACTTTGAAGTGCTGCAGAAGAAACGCCATATGATTCATCCAATAAGAAAAATTTCATATTTTTCGTGAGGTGATTATTTGTTGATAGGCATCTTTTATCGTTAAAAATGCATACATTTTCAAGCATTTAACAGAATGAAGGGCTGCTCCACCTTACATTAGTGGTTAGAGCTATAAGATTTCAAATAGAGCTTCCAGATTCGATACCCATATCGGACAGTTTGATGTGGTATTTATTGAGAACTCAAGATCTGAAGAATATATATACTATTTCTTAACCTGTTAACTGGACAGGACGCATAAAGGCGTCTTCGAAAATTACGTGTGGATTCGGCGTATATTTTTGATTGACTATTAAACTTGTGCTTGTTTTGTGTTATTTTTTTTGTACATCAAAAATATTAATAATTAATATGTATATTTTATAGTTTTTCATTCATTTGGTATCAATAAAATATAAGCATATGAAATTATAGAGATAACAGACACCCGATCAACTCATTTATGTCTATTATCCAAATCGCCAATTTCAATGATAACTGGACAACTTTTGTGAGACTTTACTGAAACTTTTACTGAATCTTTTCATATGCTATACATTTTTTACGCAATTCAGAATCCAGATTATCAAGAATGACATTAAAAGTGTTAAATCTAATTTAATAATAATATTAATTAAGACTATTCAGTCTTAACCTGACAGCGACATATCTTCATATCGTGTTTCATTAGCATATAATTTTCTCTTTCTTTGTCTGAAAACTGTTCAATTTTATATTCTTTATTCTTTAATTTCTGAATTTTTTTTTCTCACTTTCCAAATTTTTCCACTCTAGAAGCTAGAGGCTGGGCACTAGCTCCCACTACCCCTACTTTAAATCCACCACAGAATATGTATAAAATAGCCCCTTCTATCCAGCATTGATGCATCAATAAAATATTCATCAGTATTACAAAATTTGCAATAATGCATTCATAAAATAGGGATAGAGCAACCGTAAATTAAGAACTTTAAATTTAATGTATATTTATTGTAACTGAAAACATATATATTAAAAAAATAAAACCGGAAAATTATATTTACGTTTACTTTTACGCCTATTTTTATTCACTCAATCAGTGCAATGTTAACCTGTTAACCGAACGTGTACTGTCTCTATAATTTCATATGTTATAAAACTATAAAATATATTAGGTTGTCAAATATCTCCCTTCCGCTTTTTTGCTCTTGGTTTATAATACAAAAAGGCGGAAGGGAGATATTTGACAACCTATTATATTGATTGTTAATATTTTTGAAGAACAAGAAAAGCACAAAACAAGTACGAGATTAATAGTCGATCAAAAATATACGCCTCACCCGCACGTAATTTTCGAAGACGCCTTTATGGGTCCTGCCCAATTTACAGGTTAATATTCGCAATTTTCTTAGAATTAAATAAGTGTAATTTAGTGCATAAACAAAAAGTAATATATGTCAAAATACGTGCGCGATATTAACCGCTCTTATGCTTGTAAGACTAAATTGGTAAAACTGATGCAGTTAGTTTAATTTTAAGCTAGGAAGACCACATTTTATTAAAAAAAAGTTAAATAAACAGTTGATGAAAATGAATTTGTACGAAGTTCGACTATCATTTTTTTTTTCATTTAAAATGGCTACAAAACAATGTTAAGCAAGCCGGCCAAAACGCCCGACCGACGAACTTTTAATTATTTTACAATAGCCATTTTATGTTTGGTACAACTTAGTACAAAATGAGTACTAAATATATAATACAACAGGGTCGATTTAATCTCTCTAGCAAAAGATATGTAAGCGTCCATCTTGGATCATAAATGCATACGTACAAGGGCGACCGTCTAAGAACACAATCGATAATAATTAAACGATAAGCTATAAAAGTACAGTCTCAGTTGCTTATTGTACATGATGCAGTTATTATGTATCCGTCGAGGGTCTGTTGACCCGCAAGAGCTTAAGCAGAATGCGACCCACTGAACTAACAACGTAAAATGCAATTAACTTTACCGTTCCGAAGAAACAGCGCTGTCGGCTATATAACATACGCGGCTGAGGTAGAACCATGATGCCGCGAATAGGTAGGTACCAACTCAATCATGTGTTTAACAACTGTAATAATGTACTCTTATAGTAGTACGTTTATATCTATAGAATAAATATCGCAAATCATTGTGCCTGTGCCGTATGCGCGGCTGCGACGATGGGGCCAGGCCACTATTGACTCTTATGCGAAAACCCAACAAAGCTAATTCAATACAAGAATCTCACAATAAAATATAACATATGTGAAATTGGTAATATCCAATTTAAATTTCGAACTTGATCATTTCAACACTCTTATCTATGAATCCGTATACAACAAGTATAACTTTAACTAGCACAATTATTGAGAAAATTGGATAGGAAACACGCAACTTTAATTGATTCTTATAATTAAAACACTTCTTATAGGCCTGCAATATTTGAACCCTTTCCTTACGGGAGACCATTCCGCCGTAGTGACACCACTAAACGGGGCACCGTGCCGAAAAGTGTGGTAGTCTTTGGTGTAAGCTATTAACCTCTTTCAACATGATCTTGAAATTTTCTCATATCTACATTTTTCAAGTACAATTCAGTTAATGCTGTTCCATATGTTCACATATATATATGTTTATTTATTTTACATTTTTATACATATATGCAAGCCGCCGTAACGAAAGGGTTAAGGTGTTTAGTTTGACTATAAACTCGATCACCATGCAAAGTTTCATCAAAATCCCAGAAGAGTAAAACTAAGGTTCTCCTTGTAAGACAAAAAATATTTCAAATGTTTTGTCACCAATAAAAGAAAACGATATAAAAAAACGTACTTAAAAACCTCATTATATTAACTATTTATTTTTTATTCATAATCAGATTACTTTTGATATCATGCTCTTTCGGCATTAACATCATAAAACTTTCAATCACCAACAAAATGAACTTTATATTTGTAAAATAAATTTAAAAATAATTCGGGTAAGCTAAATTTATTCTGACTAGTGTTGCATGACATCGTGCCTTAAAGCAAATTGCTTAACTTCCCGTACCGTAATTTAAAATGTTGAAAAGTTCAGAAAAGCGAAGATTTTATGAATTTTGAATTTTGTCGAACATTTTTGAGAATTTTAAGAACATATGAAGAATTAAATATTGAAAATATTAAAAAAATTTTTTTTTAATTTTTAAGTTCGGATTTTTTTTGAAAACTGCAAATTTTTTTACTGCACTGATATTTTTTTAAAACTTAGAAACTTTTTGCAAACTGATATTCAATTTTTTTTTATAATTTTGAAAATAATGACATTTCTTGAAAGTTTTTGATACATTCGTATCAAATGATTCATACTCTCAAAAATTTATGATTTTCGATCGCCAAATTACATTTTTTCCAACATTTTTCTGAATCAGCACGTCTCCAATGCTTTTTGAATAATTCAAATCGGTTGATCTGTGCTCCCGAAAATCTAGACGAAAGAGACTAAAAACACATACTATGGTATGCCATAATGCTCAGAAAGGTATGAAACGTAAAGATAGAAAAAATATCATTTTTGATTTTTGATTAAAGAGTGAAAGTTACGTTGTTAGAAATTAGTTAAAAGAGAAGCATGGCATAAATATCTTTAGCGTAGTTTCGCTTCCTAAGAAAATATAAACATGTTTGGAGCGTTGACAAAATTAAATGATTAAATCCTTAATGATAGTTAGTACTGCAGTTGTCTTTTTGATATATTAGTATAAAAGTAAAAGTCCTATCTAAAATTATGCAGATAAATCGAAAAAATGGACATTTTAAGAACAAAAATAAGTAAAATATCACTAAAGTCCAAAATTTAATTTTTGCTAATTTCAATGCTGAATTGCATTGATTAGTTTGAGACGCTGATTAGTATTTTATGACTAGATTATTATTCATTAAAAATAAATTCGATTACATAATAAATTCATTTTTGAAATATTTATATATAAAAAAGAAAATTTCAGCAATTTACTTTAAGGTACAATATCATACCCCACTAGTCCTGTCACTACATTTTTAACAATGTTTTACACAATACCATATAGCACTATGTTTTTTCTTTAAACCGGTACATGCGATTTCAGTTTAATACGTTTCTTAGTTGAGAAGAAATATAGTGTTGTAAAATGTGTTAACTATAAATTAGAATTAGTTCCCATAACGATTTTAATAGCCATGTGCTAATAACGATATGATGGTGATATTCGACATGTTGATGGTAATTAAATAGTTCGTTCAGAATGGGTAAAAAGCAAGTAATACAATCAACCGTAATTATTATTTTAATAGTGTAATAAAGGCCATATACTATATGATTATAATATTATTGAAAATAAATATTATCAGAGATTGTTGTTTTTCTTCCTTTATGTAAAATTGATACGACAATCTTTTGTCGCAATTAAAATAAGAAATGTCCTCTGGATATATTAATTTTTGTAATATAAATAATATTCTAGGTATCGTTTGCTCATATAAATATTCTGGAATATTTGAACATAAAAATTAGGGTAAATGTTCATCAGTAAAATTTTTAAATACACATAACGTTTTTAGTTAATATAGTTTCTATAATAAAATGAATCAGCTAAGAATACTTACAATTTATGAGTAAAACTTCTCGTAGAAGCTGATTCACGGTGAAGTCACCTATAAAAAATGATAAATGTTATATTTTATTTTGTCGTTAAGTAATAATTTTAACTAAAGTTGTTGAACTTTTAAAAAATAATCACATATTTACAACCTATTCATTTTCAAAACAATTTATCTCCTTTAAATATTTTTTTATAATATATATATATATATAAAGAAAAATCATATTCAATTCTTGGTTATGTAATATATATACTCGTAAGTATAACGTATAGAAAAGCCAGAAAATTTAATCCATTCCGTAGCAGTAGCTAGAATTAATAGACAGTCTATCTCTAAACAAGTTAATACAAAACTTAAATTACATTCCTGTCTCCGGGCATTCGTAGTTTATATAAAAAATAGTTCAAACATGAATAAATTGAGATCGAACGATTTAAAACATATGTAAGAAGAAACAGAAATGATTCGAATTAACCACGGGCGCGGCTTACTGCATTATAATATGGGAAGGTGAACAATGTAAATGCTGTTCTAGTATATATAGAAAGTGATAATCAAATTCTACTTAATAATAATCGTAAGGAGTTTGTTATATATATTTATAAACACTACCTGAAAGAGTATTTCAACTTTGCAATAGTTAAAATGAATACCATATACTCTATTTTATTATTAGAATATTAAATAGAGCTATGGGAACAGCCTAATGCCAAGCAGTAGTGAAAATAGCCCTTTCCCAGCATTGTTGCATCAACAAAAAATCGTCAATCATTACAGAGAGGAGACAACTGTTTAGATTTCTATATATAAAAACCGACATAGTTAGTTAAGTAAATAAGCACAACATCTCATCGAACCCTTAAGTTCTGATTGCATTTTTTAAAAAAATCATATAGGGTACAACGAGGCTTATACGTCTAACAACGATATCACAAAAACAAATAAAGTTGAGAATTTTTAAACTACAATATTTGAAAGTAGAGGAAAAAAGATGTATAACAAGCCATCACCTTGATTCTTACGACTTTGCTATCGGGAGTTAAACGACAATGATTGAAAATTCACAACAAAAGTATTATTTTATGTGTGAGCACTGTTGTATTTAAGTTACTGTTAATTAACTTCCCGTAGGGCAAGTTATAGTAATCGCAAAAAAATCGAAAATGAAAATTTTTGCATTTCTCGACGTTTCAAAAGTTTCTGAATATTTTGGCATACCTTAGAAAAAATGGATGTATGTGTGTGTGTGTGTGTGTGTGTGTGTGTGTGTGCGTGTGTGTATGTATGTGCGGATACAAATTTTCGTCGACGATTTCGGGAACACCGATCAACTGATTTGAATTTTTCAAAAAACATTCGATTTGTATTGATAAGGAGACGTGCTGATTAGTTTTTGGCGAAGTCAGGTCTAGCCGTTCCGAAGATACGGGGCAAAAAGTGCCGAAAACGGTAACTCAGTTTTTAAGAGAACGGAGCGTCCGATTTTAATAATTCAAAAAACATTTTACTTGTATTGACAAGGTGAAGAATTGATCAAATTTTCATGAAGGCAGGTCTAGCGGTTTCGGAGATCTAATGAAAAAAGTATAAAAAAAATGCCATTTGGCGGTCAAAAATGATCATTAGACATATGCACATCAAATTATCAGATATTTTATAGAGATTTTAACAATAAGTATAATTTTGGTTCACATTCCTATGGGTTCCGTACCAATGTTTACGCGTTAGACGTCGACGCGGCGCTTACGCAGTTTGATATTTCGTCTTTATGCAGTTAAAGCAGTACGATTGCTTTGAAAAAAAGTTTAGATCTTTCAAAATATGTCAAAATAAAGAAAACATTTTTTAAAAAAAAAATTAAAAAAAAAAATTAAAAAAAAATTTTTTTTTTCAAAAAAAAGTAATTTTTTGTCAAAAATCTTATTTTTTCGAAGTAAATTTTTTTCAAAAATGTTAATCGTTTTTAAAAAAAAAATAATTTTCGTACGGGAAGTTCCAGCAATTTGCCTTAAGGCACGATGCCTTAATTGCCTTAAGACAGAATTCCACTTACAGCTAGTTTTAAGTTAGATTCAACTGTTTTTTTATATAAGCTCTATAAAAGCTTACACATGGGTGGAGTAAAGTTGAATAATGAAGGAAATATTTCGCAAAATCCATTTAAAATTAAAAATAATACATTGGTGCCTTCTGGACGTCCCATTTAACAGCCCATGGGGTGAAAAGGGCCAAGGTACAAATTTTTGAAAAATATCAAAAGTACACATTTCTATAATAATGAATTAGCTGGGAGTTTTACTGACCATAGTCAGATAGTTGTTTGTTTGATATTTGTAATTTGTTGCGATATAATTGGTTTGATTTTCACAATATAATTGCTCAAAATCGAACAAGACCTTTGTGCTCCGCCCTACCCTATAATACTAATTCATAAATACTACAACACAGTCCTGCTGTTTCAAAAATTGTGATTTTCACACTTGCAAATATTAAGTATAATTGAAAAATACATTGTTTTCAGTTTAATACGATGGTTTACTGCGTAAGTAGATAAAAAAATAATAAAAATAACATGCACGCATATGCTACATATCATATTATGACTTCAAACGTCATAACATTTTGCGCTCTGAATGGTGTGCTGTAACTCTATCTCTTCGAGTAGCTATTCGAAAAATATAACCCTTTCCACTCGGATGCCGCCGCTCCGGCGTCAAAATTCATATAAATCTTGGAATTCGCAAGTGGAAAGGGTTAAATTAGTAAATTTCAATGTGAGTTTTCACTTTATACATACATACATACATTAAATATGTGTACTTTGAAATCCGTTAATATTCTATTTTAAGGCGAATGAGCATGTAAATTTTTTCATATACATGTGGAATGCATAATTCCATCCATTTCGTACAATGTTGACGAGATGATGCATTCTTGCATGGATATAAAATATTTGCAAATGATATCTTAAAGAAAGTGATTGTATTTAATGTACAAGCATTAAATTAACGTTACTTTTAGATAGGTCAAAACATGTAAGTTTTATATAAGAAAAATATTTATTCAAGCCAAATTTAAAAAAAATTCAACTTTTGTATAAAATAATAAAATAAACGTTTTTTAGAATAAATAGTAACTAAGTTGAGTTATAGCTCGAAAAGCCTCTAAAATAAACGTTTTTTTAGAATAAATAGTAACTAAAATGAGTTATAGCTCTGAGAGCCTTCGACCATATATCGGAATTCAGGGCTGTCAGATGCAACAAAAACATTTATTCGTAGGCTTTTTACAATTATATAATTATTGTTCGACGGTTCGAACCACAGTCCTATGTATTTGAGAAAACTACCGATAAAAAATTTAGAACAATCATAAGCTTTGAAGATAATTCATTTTTGGACTCTAGCCCTTTTCTCGATGTTTTTTAAAATAATAACTGATTGGAAAAACATTTGATGATGTGAATAGTACAATATGCATATATTCTATAATCACAAAATTTCCCAGATCGACATTTCAGTCTTATAATTAATTCGGGGACAAAACCGCATCAGTCAGCCATCAAATCTCAAAATGTTGTTGACCCCGAGAACGTTGCATACAACTGGTTTTGCGTACGACGCACCATAATTTCATAAGTAATACAAACGTGCTTGATACACAGGTTTATATTTATGTAATTATTTACTTAATTCTCCACATGATGAGATAAAAGGAAGTAGTCGTGTGTATGTCTAATCTATATTTTGTTAATTACGCACAGTTGCACATTTGACACAAGACGTTTGTGTCGAAGAAGTACAATTCATGATGGTATTTCTAAGAGGATTCCTTATTTTATGTACAGTAAATCCTGTGAAAACAATAATTGTTAATACGATTTCTCGCATAATTCGACACTTTACTGCATATCCACTTTGGAACATTTTTTTTTATTATCAAAAATATAAATGCATACATAAATTGAAAGATTAAAGAATTGACTAAATTTTTCGTAAGACAGGTCCAGTAGTTTCGTAAAACTAGAAAAAAGTTATAAAAATGCCATTTTGTGGTTAAAAATGATCATTAGACATATGCACAACAAATTGTTAGATATTTTATAGAGAATTTAATAATGAGTACAAATTTTGTTTCCATTTTTTCGAGTTCTGTGCCAAGATTTTTAATTTTTAAAGTTTACTTATATGGTTCATTTCAAACATTTTCAACAGTATGAAACAATCGATTTGAATAATTCAATAAATATTCGGTTCATACTGATCGCAAGACGTACTGATTAGTTTTAGCGAAAGGCTCGTCTAGCCGTTTCGGAAGAACAGAGCGCAAAGGGTGTAAATATGGTCGTGCAGTTTGAGAGAACGAATCATCCGATTAGAATGATTCAAAAAATAATGTGCTTTTGTTGAAAGACTTGTTTTTTCATAAATTTCGAAATTTTCCAAAGTTTAAACAAAAAGTCAAGATTTTAAAAAAACTTATTATTTTCAGAATAAAAAACTTCAGAATATAGCGAAGTTTTAAAAAAAAAAGATTTTTTTTTTTAAATCAAAAAATTAAAAAAAATGTTTTCAAAAATTGCGGCAAATTTCGAACATTTGATTTTTTCAAAAAAAAAAAAAATTTAAAAAAATAAAAAAAGAAAATTACTAATACGCATAAATTGTTTGTAGAGTACGCTCGTTGCTCAATTTGATAAGCATTCAAAAACTTACAGCATGTATTTATAATAATCTATTTAAAAATATTTAAAACAATTGTTTTTAATTATTGAATAATTTTTATTAATTGTTAATTATTTATATTCCTCAAATGTTTAATCACGCCCAATACCATACACCACTAGTTCATAATTAATTTGTTAGTTTTGCTCTATAAGTTAGTTTGAAAAATATGATTCATAGGAGATATTATATTTAAATAGAACAATTCATTAGTTCCAATTATTTGATTTATCATTTATATATTTGATTATATTATTTTATATAACTCTGATCTAGTTATTATAAATGGTCCTAAATATTGTGAATAACGATGCTTATAGACCCTGA